TTGGCCCTTGCCCTGCGAGCGCGACGCCCACGAATTGCGGCGTCGCACGTGATCAGCTCGCTCGCAATCGGTAGCGCAGACTTCAAATTAGACTCGCGACCCTCTCCGTTCTTTGGCGTCGACTCTGCTCGTCCGTCTCGCCTCAGCACCTTTCGCCGTCGGCAATCCGGTCCTCGACAGATCGTGAGGGTCCGTTGCCTCAATGTAGTAGGCTTTCCACCCGAGTTGCTGCGTGCTCCGTTTTTTCTGCGATGAGCCAGTCGTTCCAATGCCGATGTTCCTCTTCTTCTCGCCGATCGGTGTAGACGATTTCTTACACGCGCAGTTCGGCCGCCGATCTCTACCTATGGTTACGCTCATGAGGAGAGAAAAGATTAAATAAAGCGCGCAGACAATATGACAGAAAACGCAATGCGCGCGGATACGCTCGTCTCCCTAAATTGGGGAGGACACAGGATCCAAAACCGCGCTTCCTCGGTCGGGCGTTATGACCCTTGTGACGGACGGTCACAAATCAAAAACGTCACGTCACAACATATATACTTCAATACATGTATTATAAAATAAGGTAATGTATATATGGTCCGAATTTGGACCAGATGTGGAAAACCTAACAGAAATAATCTTATAAAGATAAGGTCTAAAAAAGCAAGGTCCTTAGAAGGTACTAGTAATGTAAATCTGAAAAAAATTTCTACTTTGGAATATCGGGATAATGTAAGAAGGTCTTAATGTATTCCTCATTATTTTAACCTTACAAAGGTCATCCAGACTCAAACCTGATAAGGATTTTCTTAGGTGTACCTTATTCAGGATTACCTTACATTAACCAAGTCCTTATAACATATTAGGTCAACCTGACAACAAATTCTAGTCGGAATACTGTGTGTGTCCTCGTATCCCTAATGCTTCTACTCTTCCATCTTGTCTCTTACATACCTAGTATTTTGATGTCGTATTTTATTATTTCGTGTTGGGGTGCGGGGGCTGCTCTGCAGGTATGGGATAATGAGAAGAAAGGCGATTTGGATAAACTTGAAATTCACTTTTATTCTCTCCTTGGTCTTGCTTCGGCTATGGCTACGCTCGCACTGAAGAGCGCGGCATGCGACTCCTCTCAAACACGACGTTGAAGGTTT